CCCCAAAACCCCAAAACCCCAAAACCCCAAAACCCCAAAACCCCAAAACCCCGTATTTCCGATTTAGAATTGAATCAGCTAGTTTCTAAATTTGCTAATTTAAGCCAATTAGAATCGAGTATTTGGGCAAGAATTATGAATCAGATAAGTTATAATTTGAGCTTATATGAAGTCTTCTTCTGGATCAAATGTGTCCTCATCTCCTTCTCCATTGCCTCCATTGTCTTCTTTGTCATAGACAGCCTCTGGCATCTCAATTTTGAATCTGAGGAAGCCTCCAATCCCTCCAAAGCCTTCCACAAACTGATATCCTTCTTGTGACTTGTCACTGATAAACTCAAGTTTAGCTCCATAATCTTTATAGTGCTCGCAGAGCCATTCTGAGAGAGGCTCGCATTTGATTACATCAAAATCTATCATTGTTTCAGGGTCTGTGAAATACTTAGGATTCTTTTCTTGCTCCTTATTTAAATGAAGGATAGTAACTTCTTCAGTAGTAGGGTTTCTAACTTCGTATCTATTTATCTCGAGTTCTTCCCAGCAGACAACCTTCTCTCAGGCTCCACACTCAAGGGAATGAAGTGTATCTTCAACTCCAAAGCAAATCATCCCAGTATCTAGAGCGATTTCCTCGAAATATTTGCTGATGAGTTGCTTCTCTTCCACAAACTTAACGTTAGAGAGAGCAGTTTCGGACAGTTTGATTGCTTGCTCAAACCCTTTCTCTCCTCCGTATGATACATCAACAATCTTGATGACTACCTCAGAGAGCCTCTTGTCAAATACTCCCGATTGGGAGAGATCATTCTTAAAATTAGCAGACCCAGCCAAGACTAGCCCTTTAACATTTGGCTTATCATCAGTAATAAAGTGGAATGTAGCGGCTTCAGCAACTTTCTTAACATAGTGTGCTCTCTTCTCATCCCTAATTCTTGCGAATCTTGGAGCAGACTGTCCACCTCTTCCATGCTTCTTAGGAAGCTGTACGCTGAATTGCTGTAAGGTAGTGGTATTAGCTCCTTGAAGAGTTCCAAAAAGACATCCAGCTCCATCCATGATCACAAATCCATAAGTCTCATCATTTTCAAGTAACTCAAAGAGAGGTTCAGTGCAGAACTTATTGTCACAGATGTACTTGAACGTATTCAGAGGTCTGAACGGTTCAAAGTCAATAGTATACTTCTTCTCAGAGCCACCTTCTTCTCCAATTACAGTTCCTCAAAAGATCACCAACCCATTAGGAGGTGTTCTATTGTAGAGCTTGAGCCTCTCTTTGGCTGAAGTAATGGCACTCATCACAGCAAGTTTGTTCACCTTAGATTTGATATGTGAAGCTGTGCCCATCTCAGTAGCGAGCATTGCCTGTACCTTAGATATAGCATCACGAGGAGAGAGCAGCAAGGAGATCATACTAGTTCCATTGCCTCTCAGTCTCTCCAAATTTTGAATAAGTCTTCTGATTTTCCAGGTTTCGATATTATTCTCAATAGACATATAATTTAGCTAGATCTTCACCGATATTTTATTATACATTCAACATAGCTCGATTAAATGGGGTTTTGGGGTTTTGGGGTTTTGGGGTTTTGGGGTTTTGGGGTTTTGGGGTTTTGGGG